AATTATAGGTGTCCAGCTGGAATGTCTGCTGGACCCAGAGGTCATGGTGTATTGTATCTGGTTGCTGCAGAACCTCATGTCCTATGGCTAGAGCTAACAGCCAGTAGAAGAGGTTTCTGACAAGCAGGCCTGATGCAGGGCATTCCCACATCTTTCCTGGGAATGAAGCACTCCATGGTAGCTCTGGGTACAGTTTCATGCAGTCACTTCCAAAGCAACAGCACTTCCAGGAATCTGCTTCAGAGGTGGTTTGCCATTTGCCTCCTTTCATCCCCGAATGATCATCCTGGTTATTACCTTGATCCTTGGACAAAATGACCAATTATGCTGTTCCTATTCTTCAGAAAAATTATCCCATAATTATTTGTTAATATCACTATTTTTTTTGCCTCCTTTCATCCCCGAATGATCATCCTGGTTATTACCTTGATCCTTGGACAAAATGACAAATTATGCTGTTCCTATTCTTCAGAAAAATTATCCCATAATTATTTGTTAATATCACTATTTTTTAAATTTTTATAATGAAATATATTAAATTCCAAAGAGCATATATAGTGAATACGTACAGTTTAAAGATTAATAATAAAACAAATGGTTGTGTACCTACTACCTAACTTAAGAAATAACTTCTCTCCTAAATAAGCTATTTTGTGATTCTAAGCTGACTCTCCAGACTCTCCCTTTTCCAAGGTCATGGGTCTGAGGTGGGGAGTATGGCCTTAGTGACTTCAATGTTGTTTTCTAGCACTTCTTTCTGAAAAAAAGAGAAAAAAAGGACAAATGTAGTGTCTACAGGGCACACTGGGCTGTTTGGAAACAGAAGTTCAGATGATTATGCTTATTGGCTGGTGTGGCTGTGCAGGTCACCTTGGTTCCCTGGCCCACTGCTAACTCAAATGGTACCTTTGTGTGAATAAGGAAAAGTCACACTCACCATTTGCCAGAAATATTTTGTGATAGCTATATGCACAAAAAATATAATGGCTATGAATGTGCCTAGTTCCCCCTAGAGTTTACAGCCACAATCCACACAACTATAATTCAAGAAAGATGTAGCAGATGACTACAGGGCTCCTCAAGTGGGCTTCATCATTTGTTGAATGCCTACTATGTGCCAGGCACTCTTAGATTCTTGGCATTCAGAGTTGGGATGGTCAAGATCTCTGCTCTCAAGGAACCCCATGACTGGATTCTGAGAAAGTTGTTTTGTAAGTGCAGGATCTGGTAGTCAACTAACAAGCTGGAGGTGTTCTTGGGCTGGGTCAAGGGTCTAATGGTTGCTAGTAAAAGTGAGCTAATACTTAAATTTATTTAGAACCTTTTCTATGCCATGTGAATCCTGAGAGGTCATGTTGCACTAAGCCAGTGAGTTCAGAGCTCAGGTGGGATTCTTAAGTCCATGGTGTCCCTATGTCCTAGTTTTACCTGGTCAGTTCTGTTTTAAGTACCTTATCACCATGTAATTATTAATATAACACCTTTATCTTCTTAAAAGTGACCCAGCTTTGGACAGTAAATTATATGACCACGTATATTAGTCAACTTTTTTTGACATGGCAACAAATCCCTTCAAAATCTTAGTGACTTAAGACACCAGATATTTAAGTTTGGTTAATGGATCTGTGGATCAGCTGCAGCTCTGCCATAGGCTGTTACTCATGTTTAGTTTTACTCCTCATTCTGGATTTGGGGCCAATTCCACAAGTCTTCTTATTATGGCACCCAGGCTAGAAGATCAGCTCTTCCATGAGAGCTCTTCTTCTCATGCAGAAGGTGGGAACCCAAGGGTCCCCTGGTCTAAGGTGGCATGGGTATATCTACTCATATTTCATTGGCTACAGCAAGTCATATGGCCAAGACCAACATCAGGAAACAGGGATTTATACTCCTCCCTTGGTGGGGAGATCTGTGGTAGGGGAGAGTGAATATTTGGTGACTAATAATACAGCCATCACATCACGCTCGCCAACCCTACTGCCTCCCAGTGTGCCCCTCCTCCAGCCCATGCTGGTGTTCTCCAAGTGCTTCCTCTGTCAGGACAGAGCTGAAATGATTAACCGGACATAGGGAAGGAGTTTTGACTCCATTTGGAGTACAGGGTATTAAGGGATTTTACCACTGTGTGGAGCCTGTTTTATTTTTAGATTCTATTGGAGTGGGGATCGATGTTTGCTATGGCAGCGTGATTAACTGGGACAGAGTCTCCTCCTTCCCTGTTTCCCCAGCACTACCCTTATCATAGAGGTCTACACTAACAAATGTTCCACTCTGCTGTGCAAGCTGTCAAAGCCAAGTGGAGCCTGGGCTCAAGGCACGGTCTCCCTACCTCATGTGGGGATCTGTGAGGTGTGGTTTCTAGCACCTTATACTTTGCCCCCTCTGACTCCACTCCCTGTACCCAAACCTTGCCCTTGTTGCTCTGCACCTGGGATTTTTAATTTTTATTTTCTTTCAGGGACACTTCATTTTCCTGTGTTAAGTGATCAGCACTGATTGGCTTTTCCTCTAAAACAATTCCAGAAATTCCCCAAAGTTGTTGGTTTGCTGGTGAATGGATGATGCCCTTCCTTGTTTTCCATTGTTTATCCCGTTTGAGTGGGACTAGAACAGACAAAAGTGAAAAAGATTTGAGCTCAGTTACCCACATTGAAACTGGAACCCCAATGTTTTCAAACAGAGATATAATATTATTTTACCGCAAGGGCAAAGATTGATGGGGAGGCATAAAGGAGATCGTCAGATCCATCACCAGCGCTGGCAGCTGGCTTGCTCTCAAGAGCAATTTTTCATGGAGGAACAGTTTTATTATTTCATGAGAATGATCAAGTACCTTCAGAGTCATGTTGAAAAGCACAGGGATGGTAGTTGGTCAGCTTGACTCTGTAGGTGAGTGACGTGCAGGAGGGGTTCCCATGCATGCCTCAGCAGAAAAGCAACTTGTCACAGATCATAGAATGTTGATACTGCTGTGCATAGTTCAAATTGTGAGTACTGAATGACTAATTTCTAATTTTCTCCTGCATTGGAATATGAATCTATGAAGATATGGAGTGTGTCTGTCATGTTCACTATTGTATCTCTAGAGCTTAGCACAGTACCTGGCACATAGAGGAATTCAGAAAACTCTGGTTGAAGCAATGCAAATATTAATGATGGAGAGTAGAGACAAAATTTGGGGAGAATCCTTGGGACTCCTGAGTGTAGTGGAGCATAGTAAAGACAGGTAGGGGTGTCCTTTAAAGTAAGGAGCTTACAGCCACTGTAGTGCCAGAAATGAGTTCAGGTTGATGCCTCAGCCTCCCAGACTCTACTGTGGTGGTGGTGGTGGTGGTGGTAGGGATGCCTGCAGGTGCTTGGGCTCTGTCTATCAGGCTCCGTCCACAGCCATTGGATGCTGCTCTGCCACGGACCCTTGCTGAAATGAGTTCAGGTTGATGCCTCAGCCTCCCAGACTCTACTGTGGTGGTGGTGGTGGTGGTAGGGATGCCTGCAGGTGCTTGGGCTCTGTCTATCAGGCTCCATCCACAGCCATTGGATGCTGCTCTGCCACGGACCCTTGCCGAGGCCATGGGGCCATGGTCCATGTGGTAGATGCTGTCATTACCCACCATACCCCTCACCCTGACCACTTCTGTGCATACCTGTTGACCTCCAGTGAAGCCTCTGCATTGATTTCATGTGGGATTTGTCTGGCACTGAAGCTCACTTTGCTCACCTGTGCTGCTGGTTGGAAATGTTAGGAATTGGGCCGGCCCAGTGGCGCACTGCTACAGTGCGCCGCTTGGGAGTGTGGCGGCACTCCCGCCGAGGGTTCGGATCCCACATATCGACCGGCCGCTCACTGGCTGAGCAAGGTGCGGGAGCAACACCGAGGGTTGCGATCCCGTAGCCGGTCCCGGTCCGGTATGGGCGCTACACTGAGGGTTACGATCCGTTGCCGGTCACGAAAAAAGAAAAAAAAAAGAAAAAAAATAACACCGAGGGTTGCGATCCCGTAGCCGGTCCCGGTCCGGTATGGGCGCTACACTGAGGGTTGCGATCCGTTGCCGGTCACGAAAAAAGAAAGAAAAAAAAGAAAAAAAAAAGAAAAAAAATAAGAAATGTTAGGAATTGAATGCCCTTTGAGAACTGCCCTCAAATCATTGGCTACAGGGAGTTGATGTATAAATAGCCAGGTACTTTATACCTTGGGTGGGGTAACTCAGAGGTATATGGAGCCTACCCAACTGGCTTAAGCTCTCATCCCCCACTGTGGTAACTGGTTGATAATACACCCTTGACTGGCCACCGTCTATGGATCACTTTCCCCACTTGCCCTCCCTGTGTTTCCTTCACCTTCTAGATAAACCACTTGCCCTTGAATACTTATCTCAGGGTCTGCTACTGGTCAAACTACGACAGCCTGTTCTGGGTTCTGAGGGCCTGACCACAGAATGGTGGCTATTCTTGAGGCCACAAAATCCACAGAGGACTTGAGCTTCATTTTGCTGAGATCCTTAAATGTTAATAGCAAAAAATAGAAAAAGAAAAGTATTCTAGTTTCATTTGTTTTAAAAAGTTGTGACTTAAACAATCCCCAAGTTATATTATACAGCTCTCTGAGATGACAAAGGAATGTTTAAGGACGGTTGAAACTGTCCTGCTCAAGAAACATTACTGATTTGTACGGCCTGTGGGATAGGGTCTTATCTGACTTACCGGACATGCCTAGTCACCCTGAATGTACTGTTCCTTGCTGTTGCAGGCTGTTTATTATTTCTAGATAACAGCCTGCATGTTATGTTACCTCCTCTGTGCGTTTTCTCCCTGGCCCTCTGGTTTATGTCTGAATCCTCATTGACAGTGCTCTAGAACCAGGTGAGTCAGAAGCATCCCCAGGCCAGCCTTCCACAACCGGCTCCTGAGGGCTGAGTGGATGAGAGTCATTCAGCTGCCTGCACAGAGGGTGGGTATGGGAGGAGCAATCAAACTGAACTTTGATCTTTGTTTCTTTGCAGATATCTCAGTGAGCCTGCTGACCCTTGTGGTTACTGCCTGTGGTCTTGCTCTGTTTGGCGTGTCTCTCTTCGTGTCCTGGAAACTCTGCTGGGTTCCGTGGCGAGAACGAGGCCTGCTGTCTGGTGGCAAAGACAACAACCAGGAGCCTCTTAACTACACAGACACAGAGACCAATGAGCAGGACAACAGTGAGGACTTCCTAGATCCTCCCACCCCCTGCCCTGACTCCTCCATGAAGATCAGCCACACATCCCCTGACATTCCCCTCTCCACCCAGGCGGGGGTCCAGGAGAACTGTGCCCATGGTGTCCGCGTGCAGCGCCAAGTTACGGAGCCAACCTCATCGGCTCGGTCAGTAACACCCCTTCCTTTCTGAATGCAAGGCAAAGACCACTCCATTCCCCTCTCTTGGCATCAATAGCATTGCTTGGCCAAGGAGCCTAAAACTTGTAGATGTCTGTTTGGTATCAGAGACATGAATATAGGAAAACTTCATGCTTCCTATTCTTGACATCTGCTTAGTTTTTCGTAAAAATAGTAGTTAACATTGTTAAGACTTACCATGTGTCAAATAGTATATAAAAACTTTAATGCATTATTTTATTATAGTTTACAAATTTGTATGAGATAGATAGTATTAATTTCATTTTACAGTAGAAAAAACTCAAGTCAAAGAGATGAAGTAATAAACTCATATATTAGTGAGCACCCAGGTCAGGATTTGAACCCTCGTTTAACCAACACCAGAACCTAAGCTCTTAGCCACTATTCCCTGCTGCCCTCCCAGTGCTATAAAATTTACTCACTATGCCTCTGACCTAGCATAGCGTTCACAGACTCCTCAGACTCCGCAATGTGGAGTCCATCTCCAGCCTTTGCAAGGCCTACAGAATACCCAGGGCTAGGGTCACATTCTCTCCATTGTCTGGATACTTTGTGCTCTTAAGCAGTAGAAAAATAATATACTGCAGGGATAAAAAGCGTGGACTCTGGGGTCAAATGAACCGGCTTTACTTATATGTGTGACATTAGACACGTTACTTAACCTTCATATGTTTCTATTTCCTTTTCCATAAAAGAGGAATAGTACTAGTTCCAACTTATAGGTGGTTTTAAAAATGAAATGATAACATGTGCTTTGCACAGGTCTCCAACTAATAAGTGCTCCAAAACTTGAGCTGCCATTTTGCTTTTACTATCACTATCATCATCATCGAGACAGGGCTCTCCTAAGACTCAGATGTTGCACAAAGGTGAGTTTGAGGCTAAACAGCCAGTTCTATTACTGGATATAAAAACCAATTTTTAGTAAGAGATTTCAGGAAAAGTGACTCAGTAAGCAGCTTTCTTTAAAATGAAAATATTTGCTTGAGCAATAGCCAGACAAATAACATGTGCTTTTATTTGGAAAGTACAAGCACAATTTGAGGGTATTTTTTTTAAAAAATCTTTTTTATTTTTTCTCTGGAAGCAGAAATACAATTTTAACTTTTTTATGTTAATAAAGTTTGTCCTAGAGGCTCTGCTCATTCACATTAAGTGGGATGGAATATGACAATTTATAATTTAATTTTTTCAGAAACCTATTTTAGCATCATTTCCAATTCTGAATCAAAGAGCTAAACCTAAGTATTCCTCTGTGAGGAAATGGGTGGTTGTTTGCCATTTGATTTATAAGAAATCTCAGATTTTATCACTATGATTTCTCTTCAGATTTAAGACTTACATATAACTAGAGCTCTGTTTGATGCTGTCATGGAATTCATGCAGTTGTGCAGACTCATAATAAAATCATTTCAGTCCTTCAATAAATAGAACCTCCCAGATAGAGTTTCTATTGAAATTGTCTCCTATTCTGTTCTACTCTAAATGTAATTTTTCTGGTGAGAATTCTCTCAATATAAGGCGATAGTACTGTGTTTTAAATAGATTTGATATGAGGACTCTGCCTTAATTCTAATAAACTGATAGCAATAATATCACCATAATTATGAAAATATTTATTCTAGAAAAATGTATAAATACTCTGCATATCAAGGAATATAATTCATTTTTTAAAACCCTGTTATCTTCACTATTGATTTGTGGAAATTGGATAAGAGGAAAAAAATAATAAAAGAGGACAGCAAAGGCATTATTCCTGTATATAATGCATTTTACATTCAGATTTATTTTAGTTTGGGAGGTATGCAATTAAATGATCTTCTCTGGTGGCAAAAATCAGGTTTAGTAATATCTGAATTACAATAAGAAAGCTAAACTCTTTCCAGCTGCATTTGACCTAATATTGACAGTTCGCATCTTTATTCATTTAAAATATTCACACCTAAATTACTACTGACCTAGTTTTACAGGTTCTGTCTTTAAATACCTATCTTTGTCTCATGGTATCAACATAGTAAGAGTAATGTATGGTCTTCTAATCCTTTAGGGATTGTGTTGCATTATAAGAACACACACACACACACACACACACACACACACACACACACACACACACACACACACCTTTTACTGACAAAATGGAAAAAATGAATGAAATTTCCTTCATGCTCCAAAACATTTTTAACATTCTTTTTTAAGTTACATTTTTGATACCATATTTGGGGAGGGGCAGGGTACTCTTTGCTGAGATGGCTTTAAGTAACAGTCTGCTTTTCCAGTTATTTTTTCTCCCATCTTTCTCATTATGTTCTTTACTTTCTCACTGCTGTCACTTTCTTACTGTGTCCACCCTGCAGCCACTGTCACTTGTCCCAGGGCTCCTAGGACACCTGCTTGGCCCAGTGCACACAGACATAGACTCCCATTTATAAAGGTGTCCTTGCTATCATTGTGATTGGCATAGCTTCTGCCACAGCCTTTACATTGTAAATCTCAACTTCACCTGATCTCTTCAGCTTGGATATGTTTTGCTCACACCAATGATTTTTGGAATATCCTAAAGATGAGCTTTGTCTTATCTTCTAAGAATGTTTCTGGTCATGACTTTCTGTTGTTTTTTCAAGAGCAAGCATGTTAAGATTCTGTGTCTAGTTAGCTCAGTTACTATTAGAACCATCCCAAACTCTTGATTCTTTTCTAGTTTGATGAAATCCCTTTTGTATAATTACCTAATATGCTGGGGATATGTATATTTTAATTTTTCTCAGAATTTTTTCAATACCAGAGCTTTATAAAGGTTTCTCCTCCAAATATATGAAAATTCCTTTGTCTCCAAATTAGAAGGACCATTGAAAGGCCATTAATCCATTTCCTGATTCAAGTCCCAAGATGAAAGTTCTTCCTGGTTTTTTAAGCCTTCTCAAATTTCCTATGTAACTCTTTGCTTTTACGAAAATTTCAATTACCATACCACGAACTCCTTATCAGGTCTATTAAGGTCCTGCATGATATTGCCAGTCTGCTCCTAAAGCTTCACCTCCTGGCCAGGGTAACCATGGTGCACAACCCCAGAGGACACTGTTAACATGGACTCAATAGGGGCCTTTACCTGGAAAAGACTCGCTGTACCCCATCTACACCAGCCTCTCTTAGTTCCTTCAGTATCCCAAGTCCTTTCTTGCCTTGAGACCTTCACACATGCTCTTCCCTTAGGCAGGAATGCTTTTCCTTTTTCTTTGCCCTTCCCAGCTCCTTTGCAGCCTTAATGCCCTAAATAAATTGCCACCTCCTCAGAAAGGTCTTCCTGACCGCCCTATCTAAAGTATGTGTTCTGTCCTCCACTTCCTTCCACTCTTAATTCTCTCTCATGTTGCCTTGTTTTCACTCCTTCATGGGATTAAACTCTATTTCTAAGAGGTTATTTGTTTAGTTATTGCCTGTATTCTGTTCTAGACTAGGAGTTCTGTGAGCTTTGAGACCGCATCTGTTTTGTTTCTCCTTAGCCCCTAGTGCAGGCCCGGGCACATAGCAGAATTTTTTCCATGAATGCCTGACGAATATATTGGTCAATATTGGGCCACTTTTCTTTTGTTCTTCTGACAAGAATGGCAGAGGGTCAGAAGTATAAACTGAGCAGGGTCTGTAATGGTGGGAGGCCGGTGGAAGGCCTCCCATTCACGAAGAGCCTCACATCTAGACTTTTCACCTTATCTCTGAATTAGGCAATGCATAGAGTCACAGAAATACACCCACAGACCTGAAAGAAGATAATCATCACCCTTTAAATTTGGGTCCCATTACTGGTCACAACTCCAGTGAGTGGTACACAAAAATGAAATGTTGTAATTACTCCATGAGTAGCCATTTCTATTAACTTATATTTTTGTGTATTGAGAGCAATGGTTAGATGTAAACATCTAAAATATAATAATTTTTGAATTGCTCTTTTAGTTATTTATTCAGGTTTTAATAAACTGACAACTTCAAAAATGGGGCTTGCCTAGATCTGTCTCAATTTCCGTGAGACCCTGAAATTAGATGTAAATGTGTATTTTCTCTACTGAGATTTAATTATCAGAAACTGTTATGTCCGTGGAATTTATGTATTTACCATAGACACATGCGTTAAGCATCTGCTACATGCAAAATTCTATATTAGTTGCTGGTATTAAAGAGAAAAAAAGATATAACCCTGCTTTCAAAAGGACCACAAGAGGAGCACCAGTAACACATGCTGAAGTGCTCAAATTATTCTTTAGAAGATTAATCTGGAAAGAATGCATAGGATGAGTGGGACAGGGATGAAGACTGGATACAGGGGGCTGGCTCAGACATGTAAAGATGAGGGCCTAAACTTGATTGGGAGCAACGGGAATGGAAAGAGACATAGGATGTGAGCTACTTTGGAGAAAATGCAGGTGGACAAAGGCTCATCTTGGTTATGGGGAATAAAGTATTTGAAGGTGACACATGGGTGTCAAGCCTATTTAACTTGGGAGGGGGTGGGAAGAAGCGGGTCATGCTTCTGTGTATCTAACTGCACTTGACCACACTTCTCCACTGGACCCCAGGTCTGATGCCCACACCCCATTATCTCACTCATCCTAGAAGCCCCTGAATCCCAGGCCAAGAAAGCCTCACATCCCCACCTCCTCCTGCCCTTTAGTCTGTTAACTGCATCTGTCTCTGCCCAGGACTTTTTCTTCTGTGTCTGTCTGTGATTCAGGACAGCCAACTCTCTGATCTGCATCCCCAGGGGAGTTTTGAAGAAGGAAAACGGAGTCCTGTCCTCCATCTTTCCATACTTCCCTGCCTTCATTTGAACATAGGAAAGAGACAAGTGATGATTCTGAAACCACAACTTGCTTCTCTCTTTCTTTTCCTGGGACCTGAAGGCTGGTTGACATTGGTGCTCCAGAACCAGGGAAAGGATAGGTCAGGTTCCACCTCTGAGATGCGGGTCACTGAGGTGAGGGGACATAGATGAGTGTGCTCTTGTCCATGGTTGCACAGGAAACTCAGAGATGGAAGGGAAGCTGGGGATTCTGAGCACTGGCTCTTATAGAGTCTGGAATGGAAGATGCAGTGGGCATATGTGAGCAACTCCAGAGCAAGCTGCTGGGGCAGAAGAGCTGGAGGTTCCATCCTGCTGGAGAACTGGGACCAAGATGAAAATTTAATCAATTTCCTTACTAAAGTCTACAGCATCAGCTTGGAGGCAGATAATAATGAGGCCAAGTTAAGTAGGCAGGCCCAGCTTGGGTACCTTCTCCTCCAACAATTTCTCAAGCCATAGGTCTTTCTTCCTCCCTCTCTGCTTTCAGGGCTGTGTAACCTCTGGTCAGTATTTACCTCCTGTGCCCAGCTTTAGTTACTGTGGGACTATCTCATCACCTGCCTGTCCAGTCATTTCCTTCCAGGCAGTGACTACGTTTTGCCTCTCTGCGCCTTCCACCCCTCTTGACACCATGCTTTGCACATTCAAACTTGTTGAATTGCAGTAATATCCTCTTTCTTAAAATCTAGTAGGCATAGTTAGCTTTTTGATTGATGGTTCAGGGACTGAGACTGGAGCTGGGACTGGTTAGTTCACATTTGACAAAAGGAGAGAAGGAAAAACCCTTTGCCTTTGAGCTCCTGCCCCTTCCTGATCCATGGCTGCAACTCAGCACAAAGCTCAGATTTTGTCAGGCATGAAAGTATGTTTTTGAGTTTGTTATGGGAAATCTGCTTAACAAATTTTGTTCATTATCTTTGCTTTTTGCCTTTCTAATTTTATTTTTAGTATTTTCTTTCTTCTTTCACATGTCTCCCAATCTCTCCTCTTTTTAAAAGAAAAAATTATTGTTTATGCATATTCATGGGGTACAAAGGTGACCATCACCACTTGTGCCCAAGATGTGGTGGCCAGATCAATGCTATCAACATGCCCATTACCACAAATTGCAATTATTCCCTGTGTTCATTATCTTTGAACTCAAGCTTTCTCCAGATTCAACCACCAATCTTCCAATTCAAGTCTGGGGTAGCCAAGTCCAATCTTTAAGTTCTCTTCCTTTTCTCTTCCATGGCAGGAAAACAGCCTCTGCCTGCCCTGTGAGAGAATGGGGGATGGAGGAAGTGGAATCCCATCCTCAGCAGCCAGCTTCTCAGAGACAGCATTAGGGTGTGACTCATTTACAGAGGAGACCATCTCTCAACTTTCCTTCTCACACCTGTCTTTGAGGTCTACTTTTTCCTCTTTCCGTTCATTGTGCACCTTAAGTCCTGAGGACGCCAAAATACAGGACGACCCAGACTTAGAGGACTGACCACATCAGACACGGATTCCTCCTTGCCACACTAACTCAATTAAAATCCTAGATCCTTGCTCTGGGGAACATCTCAGTTACCGCCTTCAAAGAACATCTCCAGCAACAATTTAGAACCACCTTATCTGGGGTGGGAGAGCTCAGGGTGTAACACTCTGTTCTTTCCTCCCTGTTGCTTTGGACATGCTTTTTCTTCCCACTTGCATTTGAGCAGCCTGTGGGAGCCATGGAATATTGATTTCCCATTTCCTCTACCTCATCTCTCCTTCATGTCCCTGGGCAGCCTCCCTGCTCTACTTTGTCATTTCTCAGCACCCCAGAGCTCCAGAGGTTATGCAGGGAGCTTATGAGTTACCCTGCTTCTCTAGCTGTTCTGTGCTTCTCTATTCTAATGTCCCCCTCCCAACTCCAGTAAGTTCTATCTCCCTCCTGAAAGGAAATTGAAAGCGATAGAAAGGGAGCCCCTATGCAGGGAGCTTATGAGTTACCCTGCTTCTCTAGCTGTTCTGTGCTTCTCTATTCTAATGCCCCCCTCCCAACTCCAGTAAGTTCTATCTCCCTCCTGAAAGGAAATTGAAAGCGATAGAAAGGGAGTAAGAACTGTCATGCCTTCTTATAGTCTTTGCTATCTGCCTTAAGCTGCTACCTTACAGTTAGATTCAACTGTTTTCCCAGTTGTGTGTTTCTGAATGGGGGAACAATGGGGATGAAATTTTGCATGATTAATTAATCATGTAAAACCTTTGGGTAGATAATAGTATTCATACCTGTGACTGATTTTTAAGAAGAATCAATTGTATTGGAGTTTTGAATGGGAGGCTTCCTGAACAATTGGGCTCTCAAGGAGTGGGATCCTGTTTTGGTCTTTGAAGTACAAATCTCTCCACAATGCCCTCCCCATCCCACCTCCTCTACCCACTGGCAATCCATTGTGGTTAGGAAGAACAGCATGTAGGACTAATGTCTCTTCAGATTTCCCGTCTAAGAAAATGTACATGTAAAACAGAACACGTTTTATTGCTAAGTAGCCAAATCCATGTACTTTAAATTAAAGTTTAAGTTTACGTGGTAGGTTTGATCTTACAAACAAGGGTAAAGACAAAATGTTGCTTTGATAAATGTAAAGCCAGTACTCAAAAGACTCAAAGGTAAATTGTCATGCACAGAGAGTCTTCTCAGCAGTCATCTGGGAGGAAAAGTGGTAGCCCAATGGCAGGGCCTGGGGCTGGGTGTAGACACAGGATTGTTGTTCCATCACAGACTCCAGTCTGGAGAAGGCACATCCAGTGGGTCTTGAGGGTGCACTTTTATTATGTAAGCAGAAACTGTAACTAGACAGCACCCAGAATGATCTATATTAGTCCCACTAGTTAGTCCCACTAACTAGTCCCCACCCAGAATGGTGGGAACTGACTCGGGACTAAAGTATGGACCTTTTATGAATCTAGCCTGCAAAGAAAAGTCAATAACAGAGGGAGACAGAGCTGGTAGCAGCCCTTTCTGGCCTCTGCGTAGGGAAGGTGACTTGCTGCTCTTTGTCAGTCCTTTCTGCCCACAGAGTCCAATAGAGTGAGACGGAAGCTCTGTTCTAGCACCATACTAGCTCCATTTCCGGACAAGGGAATGACCTGGCTGTATGAGCACAGGGAGCCAGTTTTAGGCCCTTAACAGCATCTCCTGCCCTACCCTCACCCTCTGCCCCAAATCATAAGATACAGAGAAGCCTTAAGATTGTGGATTCCTCTGTAAGAAATTAAATCTCACATAGCAACTTTCACACCACATAGTTTCTGCCCCTGTGGAAATGTTTGTGACTAGCATATATCTGCTTGTGGTAGACTTTGTTGGGTGTGACAGGTACAGGTGACAGCTCTGTGACAATACTCTTATTGCACACATGGGTGATTAGTGATCAGGAGGCTATTTTAGGATGAAGAAGAATGTTCCACTGTGACAACATCTGTGATGACAAGGGAGAATAATTTCAAACATGTTTTGAGGTCTATTAATCCCATTTTCAATCTTTATTTCATAAAGTAGTCTCAAGAAAGGAAAAGAAGAGAAATTCAAATGTTTACTCTGCCTCTCCAACTATTTACTGATTCCTCAGAGACAGCCCGGCTGTTCTCTTTTACCCTCTAATGGAGACACTATTTTAATAAAGGTTATTGAGAGATTGCATACAATACAATATAATGACTCAGAACTCTAAGCTGAGAACAAACAAAAGTAACCTTAAAAACAACTTTGTATGTAATAACTACTTCTCTCAACTTGTGAGGACCCACACAGATAAGACAGTTTTTAAAAGGAATTTTAGTGAAACTTCTAACCCAAACCAATAAGCTTACAGAGTTAAGAGTAGACTACGTTAGCAAATATTTAATTTGCAAATATCAGTATCTAACCTTCTCTTACTGAATCCCTATGTGCATTTATAGTAGCTCACTTTTAACTTTTGTGCTATTTGTGTTTATTTCAGGATTAAAACCTTTCCTGTTGATCTCTAGTCACCCATGTGGTACAACGGAAGCACAGTCCCAGCACTGTCACTTGCACCTGTTAGAGTCAGCACAATCCATGGCAAGCAGAGACATCCCCATCACAGACATTTTCACATGAACACAAACTGTGTTTTTGTAATGAAATTATTTGATCTGAACCAGCAAGACTTCACATCCTTATTAAGCTATAAGCTAGTGACAGGAGATTCTATGTAATTTAGAGAAAGATTTGTTCTTCTTAAGACAACACTTAGCTAACTTCTTCAATTTCGGGATATTATATATAAAGGTGAATAATTTCATTTTTAGAGCACTGTGCACAATTTTGCATTCCACCAATTGAATAAGCTTCTTTAATTAGAAAGTGCCTTAAACCTTTAAAGCTCCAAGGTCACATGTTAGTAGTTCATCTCCTGATATCAAGCCTCAGTTTTGAGCTTCAGGCCTTAGAGAGCAGCTTACTTACTCACATGGATAAGCATTTTGAATTTAGGCCTAAAAAAGCCTACAGATCTAAGCTCCTAAGAGAACATAACAGTCTACCTACATCCCAGGCACAAGTTTCTGAGAGTCCATAGCTAATGAGGTTATAACTTTGCTCTCTGTTGCTCTTCATTCAAGGCATAATTCAATCCGTAGACAACTCAACCTGTCAAACCCGGACTTCAATATCCAACAGCTTCAAAAACAGGAGCAGTTGACTGGAATTGGCAGAATTAAACCAGAGTTATACAAGCAGAGGTCATTGGATAATGATGATGGGAGACGGAGTAACAGCAAAGCTTGTGGGAAACTGAACTTCATTTTAAAGTATGACTGTGACTTAGAGCAGCTCATCGTAAAGATTCACAAAGCTGTCAATTTGCCTGCCAAGGACTTTTCTGGAACTTCAGATCCTTATGTCAAGATCTATTTGCTTCCTGATCGGAAAACAAAACACCAGACTAAAGTTCACAGAAAGACCCTGAATCCTGTGTTTGATGAAGTTTTTTTATTTCCGGTTCCCTACAATGATCTTGAAGCACGGAAGCTTCACTTCTCTGTGTATGACTTTGACAGGTTCTCTCGCCATGATTTGATTGGCCAAGTGGTGGTGGATCACTTCTTAGACTTGGCTGATTTCCCCAGGGAGTGCATCCTTTGGAAGGATATTGAATATGTCACCAATGTGAGTCCAGCTTTTTTTCATTTTTTCAGGGTCGGGGGAGGCTTCATGGTTTGCATGGGAACAGATTGCTAACATTATTTTATTTTGGGGGCAAAGTATAAAATTCTACATATAGCTGTTATTTTAGAACCTTCTTGTACCTTTCCAGAAACACCTCCCGGTGGCACACTGCTACAGTGCGCCGCTTGGGAGCGCGGCAGCGCTCCCGCCGAGGGTTCGGATCCCACATACAGACCGGTTCCCGCTCACTGGCTGAGCGAGGTGCAGGCGCAGCACCGAGAGTTGCGATCCCGTTGCCGGTCCCAGTCCGGTACGGGCGCGACACTGAGGGTTGCGATCCGTTGCCGGACACGAAAAAAAAAAAACAATATTCATTTTGAAATTTCCAAGGATTATTCGTGAAAACAATACTAAAGAATAACATTCTCTCTTTTCTGCTTTCTGATTCTTAGCTGTTCCCTAATAGCCGGCAGATATTATCTGTCCTCCTTACCACACTTTCTTTAGAGCTTTCTTAGGCTGTTCATGCTAAATTGATCCTGGCATCCTATTAACTGTAGACCGCTGCTAAGAGACCATTGCCTGGCTCTGAGAGCATTAAGTCCTTATCTATGTTCTCAAGTTGACTCAATAGCATTTCCCGTGATCAGAACTTCATTTTTAACCCTAGAAATAGAAGTGGTTGAGGAGAGTTGGCACTGCATTTTTAAATGTAAAATTCACAGAATCAAAGTTACATGGAGGTAAATCTGAAAAGAAACTACAGATAATGGCAAAACTAGTCTATAGAAGGTCAGGAGAGGAGACAGAGGTGCTATGTAGTGGTACCATGTTCGCATTTTAAACATAAGATTGCAGAAGTGATATTTTTATTCCATCAATATCCTTTTCACTATCCTGCAGGGAGGTGAAAACATTAGGGGAGGTATATTGACATTCTAGAAATAGAAAGGGAAAAGACTTTCTTAGGTAACTCTGATATTTTAAAGCTGCTTATTTCTTTCACCTGTCTAAGTTCCCTGAGACAAATTTGTTAGCTCACCTTCTTGAACATGAGCCCTTCTGAGGCCAGCATAGCTCTTTCTCTTCCTTGGCATCCAGAGGGACTGAGCACCACCACCCTTACTCAGCTCAGACACGGGTCAAGCTTAAGTCTGGAGCCTGTTTAGTCAAAGACTCTCACTCTGCTCAGGAAGAAGACACACAAAATCTCTGTCCAATGGCCAAATATCCACACTAATACTTTCCCATCCGTAGCCACATTTACAGATTGAAGACTCACCTGCACTTTGGCTGCTCTATGGGACACCTTCTGTTCACATGCCACAAAGTTCCTGTGCTAGTTTTGTCCTGCTATTCAGATAAGAAAAGTGTAGCATGGGGTTCTGCTGGCTTTGTCATAATCATGAAGAGAGAAAAGAAGCAGCTGAGGAAGGTGTGGATAACAGCAGCTGATGAAACTAAGGTGATTTGGGATATTGGGGAGTGAACAGACCTCTTCATCTTAAAAGGTTGTTAATATATGTAAACCCGAAAATGGATGCTGGGGAAGCAAGGATTGTCTCCTAAATCTTAATTGCCAAAATCAGGAGGCAGCATGAGAAGCTTTAGAGAAACAAAATGGACAGGCTGCTTATGCTAAGGTATGAATGGCCCAAGAATTAATCCTTTCACTAGGGCGTTACCAAGTCTTCTTGGGTATTGTATTAGTCCGTTTGTGTTGCTGTAACAGAATACCTGAGACTGGGTAATTTATAAAGAACAGAGATTTATTTGGCTTAAGATTCTGGGACAGCTGCATCTGGCATGGGCCTCAGGCTGATTCTGCTCATGGTGGAAAGCAGCAGGCAGCTGGTGGGTCCGAGCAGATCACATGGCGAGAGGAAGCAAGAGGGAGAGAGAAGGTGCCAGGGTCTTTTAAACAATCAGCTCTCATGGGAACTAATAGAGGGAGAACTTACTCATTAATCCCCCCACCTAGGGAGAGCACTAATCCATTCATGAGGGATCCGCCCCCATGACTGAACAGCTTCCAGCACTGCCACAATGGAGATCAGATTTCCACAGGAGTTTTGGTGGGGACAACACATCCAAACTCTATCAGGTATCAAAGTTGAGACCCTTTCTGCTGCAGTGATGAGCCTTGGATTTATGTCTGATCTCAAGATTTGATAGGTAGGGGTTGGTCACACCATCTAGTGAGACATCAATTTATGTTTTTTGACAAATGGATTCCATAGACCAGCTGGTGTGGTTATAAGAAAGTTCAGTGAGGATCCTGCAGTGAGGTACCTTCTGGAGACTTTGTGGAGGAGCAACACTGAGTGCACTGTGGCTGTTAAAGATCTGGGTAAAGCTGATCCCTGGTAGGAACATCTTCAAGAGTAGGTTCAGGCTGTGGGACCTTTTGGTCCTAAGATCACTGCCATTTCAGCACTCCTAGGAAATTTGCTGCTGGAAAATCCTGAATTTTCATAGAGTTTAAAAGAATATGAAATTATTGATCAAGGCGGAAAACAGGTAAGGCTAAAGACCTCAAAATTCTCAGTTGTTTCCTCTGGCAAACAGTAAATCTTCTGATCATTGATCTAGGCCTTTGCATAGCCAGCAAGAGAGAGTAGGTCCTCTATGGAATTACAGATTATTTCATAAGCTGCCATATATTTCTTTATATTCCATTTTTAAAAGTCTTATTTGGGGCTTTTTTGACTGTGACTTTGTACAAAGACTGAACATAAAGATCTGAGATTCGCTAAGGTTCCATTTTTATAATATAACATGTATACAATACAGTGTACATAGTGTACATGTGCAGATTAATGAAGGAATAATTAAATGAATAAGCATGAACCCAACACTCAGCTGAAGAATGGAATGTTCCTAGTACTTTTGCTGACCCTTGGATTGTCCTCCTTCATCACGTTCTCTTTCAGTCCTCTCCTGATAAGAGGAAACCACTATCCAGAATTTAACAAAAGTACTTGAAAAAGTCATGGAAAGATTTGTAATATATTTTAATTGTTTCCAAGAACTTTTTGAAATATCCTTGTATTTATATTGTGACATATAGTCATGCATCACTTAATAATAGGGATATGTTCTGAGTAATGTGTTATTAGGCGATTTCGTGGTTGTGAGAACATCATAGAGTGTACGTTCACAAACCTTGATGGTATAGCCTACTGCACATCTGGGGCATATGGTACAGTCTATGGCTTCTACTATCTATACTGCATGTTACTGTACTGAATACTGTAGGCAATTGTAATATGATGGTAAGTTTTTGTATATCTAAACATATTTAAACATAGAAAAGATTATGTGTTGCACCATGATGTTACCATGGCTATGACATCACTAAGTGATAGGAATTTTTCAGCTCCATTATAATCTTATGTGTATATCTAAACATATTTAAACATAGAAAAGGTTATGTGTTGCACTATGATGTTACCATGGCTATGACATCACTCAGTGATAGGAATTTTTCAGCTCCATTATAATCTTATGAGACCGTTACTGTGTGTGTGGTCTGTTGACGACCAAATGCCATTATACAGTGCATGACTATGCAAGTAAGACAGTATAGATTTTGATTTTGTCTGTTTCTGCTTTTTATAGCCCTTCTTTGACTTGATTTTTTTCAGTCAATATTGATTATGGCATTTAACAATAGAGATGAATAGAGCTGTGGTACATGCATTTTCACTGATGTATAGTATTCCATTGCATTAGTATATGACAAATTAGCATTCTTATATTGATGAAATTTAGGTTCTTACTAATTTTTTGTGATTCTGAATAATACTGCAGAAAACATTTTTGTATACATCTCCTGGTTTACATATGCAATAATTTCTTTAGGGTATATCTCTGGTAGTGGTAAAGTATACAACTTTTCTAGGTAGTCACAAGGTCTTTTCCACAGTGGATGTACAGATTGATCCTCCCACTGGTGAGATGCAACTGTTCCTAATGCTCCACTTTCTCACCAACTGTTACAGTTGTTGTGGACTGATTAACGTGTGTGTGTGCATGTATGTAAAATGGTATATAATTGGTATTTCCTTGTTTGTTAAGGTTAGCCATCTTTCACTGTGTTTATTGGTCATTCATGTTTCCTTTCTTGTGAAAGATTTGTTCAGCATTTTTTTCTTTATTGACTCATATATGTTCTTTATGTAGTCTAGATGCAAATTTTTTGTTGGTTATGTTATTGAAAACATCATCCCTCAGTTTAGGACTGTCTTTGTATTCACTTTATGGTGTTTTTTGATAAATAGAAATTCTTATGTTTAATGTAGTAAAACATATCAATATTTCCATTGTAAGAAGAACTTTTGTGTCTTATTTTAGAAATCCTTTCTTGTCCTATGTCATGAAAATATTTCTCCTCTATTTTTTACCAGAAGTTTGAAAATTTTTACTTTCCCAATTATGATTTTAATACACCCAGTTTGTACAGTGTAATATTGGCATCCTGTATTAGTCAGCTGGGGTGCCATAACAAAATACAATAGGCTGGGTGGCTTAAACAACAGACATTTGTCTCTCCCAGTTCTGGAGGCTGAGAAGTCCAAGATCAAGGTGCCGGCAGATTCAGTTCTTGGTGGGGCTTTCTTCCTGGTTTGCCATCTTGCTGCATCCTCACATGTTGGAGAGAGTCAGAGCTCCAGTTTCTCTTCCTCTTTTTATAGGGACCTGTATTGAGGGATGCACCCTCATGACCTTATTTAAACCTAATTACCTTCAAAAAGCCCCACCTCCAAATATCATCACACTGAGGGTTAGGGCTTTAACATATGAATTTTGGGAGAACACAAATATTCAGTCCATAACACATTCATATTTATTTTTCCATATGGATAAACAGTTTTCCAGCATATTTTCCCAATAATATGCAGTGCATTCTCCATATATTATATAAATATATAAGTATCTTATATAATTTATAAATTATATAAGTGTCTTATAAATACTATAAGATAAATTATATAAAT